TCTCGTGCCGACTCCAGATTATTCACCAATTGAGCCTGTTGTACTCGCATGTTTGTTGTTAATCTCAACTGCTTTATATGACTCCAAAGATGGGAAATGATCATACAGGATTGGATGATGTCGTCTTTAGTACCCTTAGGAACAACCGATAAAACTTGACGAAAATCGCCAGCAAAAACAATTAATTTTCCACCAAAAGGAACTCGGCCAAGTCGCATATCTTGGTGCTTCATGATATCTCTAAAACGTCTATCGACTGTTTCCAAAACTGCTCGACTAATCATAGAAGCTTCGTCCCAAACTATTATGGTAGATGACGCGATCAACGATGCATTCTGACTTCTTGGTTTTAGAAAACACATTGAGGCTTGATCACAGTTTAAAGGAATACCAAATCTGGAGTGAGCAGTGCGGCCACCCTTTAAAAGAAGAGATGCGGTTCCACTAACAGCCACGGAAAGAGCGATTCGGTTTGTTCTTCGTACAGCTTGCAGTAAAGCGTTAAAAATAAACGTCTTACCCGTGCCACCAGGACCATCCAAAAAACAAAGATTATCTTTTAAGTGAAAACGGGTGTGAGTGTAAATTTTTTCACTGTCGACCAAGTTCATTACAGTTTCAAAAACAGTACGTTGATCAGCATTAAACGGTAGTTCAGCAGGATCGATCATTGAACGTTCGGCTTCAAGACACAATTCACGCTGCTCACGCTCAAGTCTACTCATTCCAGGAAATTCTTGGTCATGGCTACCATTTCGGGTATCGATTGAAGGTAAATTAAAGCCAGCAAAATCAGATATTGTTATATTATGAGCATCTAACATATCATTTAGCCCAAGAGGCAATTACCATGAGCTGTCTCCTTCATGGTTTCAGTAAAAACAGAAATACCTTCGGGTAGAAGTCTTTTCTGTGCAAAAAAGATAATCATCAGAAAGGTTTTCTTTGTGTTTAATCCACAGTTGAAAAGGACAGGACGGTTCACAAAGAACCAAAATCGTGGCAAACAATCTTCGTAACATTAAAGGTGATTGGAATGTATCACTTTCCAAAAGACACGTATCCCGCTGTTCATCGTCGGCAAGTAAACCCTTTGCACGGGCGGTAGCTTGGTATGTTTCATAGAGAACACCATCAACAGTGCGTACATCTTCAAAACTCTTAGCAGCACGAACGTAATTTAACAACAGGCGCAGATAGTACTTTTCAGATTCTTTAGGAGAAACAAAATAGATGCGACCTATTGTTTGGCGGAGACATCTCTGTCTTTTCCTCCAAAACGTTTCACGTTTTTGCCATGTATAATATTCTGGAATTTCATGGTACAAATATTGATTTGCCTCTAAGTCTGTTCGATTTAAGGTAAAACAAGCGGTAAGGGTGGTTTCTTTGTTCGCGGAATTAGCAAGGACATCATTTAAGACTGCACCCTTTGTAAAATACACCATTTCCTGTCCAGGAAGATGAATACTTAACCGTTGATGAGAGGGAAACTCTTTATGCAACGAAAAGCTAAATATTCTCCAAGCGGCTTCCGGTGCAGAAACATATCGTGCGTCCACAAAATGATTAATCTCATCATGAGTTACCAAATTGTTTTGTTGAGCGCTATTGCTTAATTTGAACACTTGCACGATCGTGGCCTTTGTAAATACTTGTAAAGATACTTGACAGCGGATACATTATTACAAATTTCGACATTAATGTGTGCATCGTATTGCGTACAAAAAATAAACATTATGCGGAACGACCCAAACATTATCCAAAACAATACCACCTCGTTTGGTAACGTTTCTACCATCTCTTCTCCTTCTGTATATTGGATAACCTGATTCTGCAGTGGTAGTGATACGTGTAAATGTTTTGGGATAACCTTTTGAACACTTTCCTTCTTTCATGCAAACAGCTCTAGGGTTAAGTGCGCCACATGGACTATGCATCATATTTTTGGTAACAGTTTCGTATGCCAAACGAAATAACTCTTGGTCAGGGATTTCAGCGGAAATGATTTTGTTAAAATCTTGTGTAGTTCTTGGTTTATCTTCAGGTCTGACAATGAAAAGCATATGAGCGTGAGGCAAACCTCTTTTTTGGAATTCTATTACGCCAACATATCCAACAACAACACCAAGAACATGGTCTTTGGTGATATCATTTAAAAGACTTTTGTATTTCAAGCGGAATACTCTTGCACAAAGATCAGGTCTGTCAGCCGCAGTTTGGCCTAAAAGCAGTTCTTTTTTAATTTCGGGCCAGGTCAGGTTGAATGTAAACGTAATAAGAAAATCGGGTTTTCCAAAACGTCTGACAATGCCAATGACATCTTGATAAAGTTGGGACATATGTCTGGGACCACCAATGAATGAGCTTGGAAAAATTACTTTGCGCCCAAGAGAGCTTGTATCATTATCGTTGTGTGCAACAGCATGTTGTAATCTACGGTAGAGTTCAGTACGTAAACTTGATTGATTATGTCTTATTTAGTTTAGACAAAATTGTTCAGTTTTAGCATACATATCAACAATGTATTGATGGAAAAGTTTTCCGAAAAGATGAAGATCATGTCCACTATTTTTAAACATGAGGTGAAAACTATAAAATTGCATGGCTGTAACCTTATAACCTCTTTCGGATGAGCATAATGAATGGCATCCAGGTTGACCGGCAGGAAATATCAAGGTAATAAGACATTGGATCATATGTTTGATTTAACTCATTAATTCGTTTCAGTTGATCCTCGTTTTGGGATCTTATAACGATATCACGAATTTTAACCTCATCCCCTTCCTGTCTACTATCACTACCCAATATTAAAATACCAACTTCAGTTGATGTAGTTGGGGAGTTGTATCGTCTTGGGTCCGGTAATCCCTCAGCTCTAAATACCATTGTTACATCTGCAACTTGATCAGGATTTTCAGTTAGATACTGATTCATCGTTTTAAAATCTCTGACAATGGGATTAATATCGTGCATCAAGGTTTGTAAGTCGGCCAAAGTGTTGATATCGACATGGCTTGCGACACGGTGCCTGTTATTAATTTCATTTTCGGCATCGTAGACGTAAATTTGAGCGAATGACGGGGCTGCATTTTCAGATGGAAGCAACGACCCGATACGGTCGTAAATACTACCATGGATTCGAAAAGCGTAGGTACCATGGGAGTTTTGAACTGAACCGTCTAAATTTACACCCATTGAAACAAAACTCAGAGCACTGTTGTATGAGCGTATGTGGCTTTTGAACTCTTTGCTTCTTTGATCATTATTTCATAACAAATTTGAAATGAGTCCGGGAGTTAGTTAAAATGACTCTACAACATATCTACCCAATCCACAGCAAAGTTGAAACCTGGCAGTGCTAACACCGCCTTCCGATCGTTCCTGAACCCACATGAGTGCATTGCAATCAGAGCACATGGTCGACATTCCTCCCAAAAAATGACGCTCTGGAAGATTTTCTGTTTGCTTGGCTTGATTCAAGCTGGAGGTTGCACGGTTACTGTTAATGGGACACATACTGCTTGTCTTTCTGGAATGTCCAAGTTGTTGACAGCTTGAGCAGCGAACAGTGTTTTCTTGGACATGATTTTGATGTAGAATTACTTCATGATCGTCAACCTCCATGTCCTATTTTAGGCAACGTCAGTTGAAAAGCTTAAAAAAATATTTCTTATTATCTGTACCTCAGTAACTGAAGTATGGTTATCTTCTGAATTGACGTAGTTATTGACAGACGATGACACCTAAAAAAAAAAATGAGTCTTTCCAAATAAAAAAAATATTCCCAAAAGAAATACTTACATTCGTAGTTTGGTTTACTGGATTTAAGCGACAATCTCGGTGGGATCTACGACGATGACCTTCCTCACCACACGACGCACAGTATACACTATTATTTGACATGTTTAAAAAAAATAAAGGAACAACGTTAATACTATGGGCCGTGTTCTTGGGTGGAGGGGTTCCCCGTCCCCCAAAACCCCCCTCCCCTCTTGCGGGGGAAACCCCCGCACCCCTTTAAAATCTTAACTTTTGTAACTTTTGTGACTGAAAGTTAGCTCGTCTTGTGACTGTTTTTTACGATTTCTATTTTTTTAATATTATTAATATATGGTAACGATCCAGTTAAGTAAAATAAAATAAAAGGTCTTGATAGACAGATACAGAGAAAAAGAGACTAAGGCTTCGGTTTTTCTAGGGAGACTGTCACGGACGGAACAGGAACAAGACACAGAAACTACTTGGCGACACGAGGGGGGCGATTGGTTAAAATAAAATATGTTTATTATTAAGAGGGGGAGGGGGTTAGGACTAAGATCCAGAATAACGTTTTTCTAATAAATAACTAGCATCTATTTATACTATTTCTTATACATGGGAAAAACTACGATGGGTTTAAATTATAGATTAACAAGGGAGTTTACGGACCAGATACATGAATAGATTATTGACAAGGATGAGTAATTGAGATTTGACGAGTAGTAACAGGCTGGATTTGGTTGACATTGAATAATATGATGGTTCGGGGAATATTTATGGTTTGACACGGGCGGGAAAACTGGATTAGGAATAAAAGTAAAGGATGATCGGGAAAAGGTTTACTAAGGTTGAGTCAGACAGGAAGCGGGAGTAATATTGAGAGGCAGATTAATGATATGTTTTACAAGGAGTTCGGTGGCGGGCAAGATATACTGATATGATTTTTGGTACAAGGTTTTACAGGGAGTTTGATAGCGGACAAGATATACTGATGTGATTTCTAGAACAAGGTTTCACAAGGGGTTTGAGATCATGGTTAAGTTATGCAGACAATAAACAGGGCGAGTAAGTTCATGACAGAGACAGTGAGATAAGAGGCCTATTATATATAGAAGATATAATATTTGATAGGCAAGTTTATGATAAAAGTATATAGTAAAATCTGAATGTTTATTGAAATATGTTTTGTTTTAAGGTTTATATAGTTTTTGAGAAATCAAAGGATCGGTAATGATACCCTTGATTTCGGATAAATGATAATAATAATAAATTTGTCAAAAGGTTTTAAATATTAAAAGGTAAAGATTCAAGTTAGAGAAGTACAATGCTAAAAGTTAGCATAAAAAATATAAATTGTCTGAGTAAAATTTTTAGTGTTGAAGTCAATTATTACATATTGAAAATCCGCATTGTAACATGTGGCTCCTCCTCGATTATGTTCGGCCCGATCATTAAGTCATACATGCTTGAGATGCTTCTTGATAAATGCGGTTGTTTTGTTGTCATCTCCAATAATAGTCTTTATGCACTTCTTCGGTTCTTTTTGATATTGATCAGTTGATTCGTTGTATAATAAGCGAAGTAATTGAAGTTCTTCTTTTAAATAAGGTAATAGTTGCTGTTTTAATAAACTGTTCTTCTTATCTTCTAAATGGATGATTTTGTTCTTGGTAAGATCATATTGGTGAAAGGATTCTTTAATCTTGTTGTGTTTTTCGGATTTTTGGACTTCTAGTCGTTTAGCGGCACCTTTAATTTGTAGGCCTTCACGTTGAGTTTTATGCACCTTTGCTTTAGTAGTTACCATACGAGATTCCTTGCGGAATGGTGGTGATGAGATAAAATATAAAAATGTGAAAGAAAAGGATAATGGGGGAACAGAGGGCGATATATATATATAATTTGTTTTTTTTCTTTTTTTTTAAATACAGAATAGATTAGTCTGTTGGTTCCAATTTACGTGAGGTTCGGTCCATGATTTTAGTCGATTTCCATGAACTAATTTCAAGATAGTGTCATCTGGATTTGATATATTTTTGATGTAATAAGCGCCTTTGCGTAATATTTCTTGAATGCAATAATTGTCTTCGAACCAGCGAATCATTATTTTTCCCTACCAAGAAGTAGAGATATTATCTCGGTATAGCTTAACAATGTCACCCACTTTAAAACCAGTTTTATAATCCTTTCGTTTATTGGCCATCTTTTCTTCGATTCTTTTTATTTGCACCTTTTGTGATTTTTGAATTTTATCCCATGATTGCTTACGAATTTCTTCTAAATGGTGTAATTGTATGGTTGTACGTATTTGTAGTTGGAGCGCAAAGCTGGGTTCTTTAATATCAAGGGGTGCAATTGTGTTGTCAAAATAAGTGGATGGTTCATATCCATACAAAAGATACAATAGGGATTGCATGGTAGTGGCTTGTTTAATAGATTGGTATGCAAAAGCAGTTGCGGGTAGATAATTTGGCCAGTTCGTCTTTTTGGAAATGGTTCTTTTCTTCAGAATGGAATCTAAGGTACGATTGAAACGCTCACATAAACCATTGCTCTGGCTATGATATGCACTGATAGTTTTGTGTTTAATTCCGAAAGTTTTGCAAACATTCTTAACTACTTCCGATACAAACGGTCTACCTGTGGTATTTGACAAAATATTAGATAGAAAAGTAATGAGATAAAAGTATATTTTTATCAGGGGTAAAAATAGACTAAAAGAACTCTGCTGCTATGAAATAATTGATCCTTTTTATATTGCACAACTCTCCTGAGTTTTAATGATGAGTCAACCTTTCTGGTTTTGAAATAGATCTATACTTTGTTTCCCGCCTTGGGTTAAATGGATATTACTCGTTAGAATTGTTTCCAGATAAAGTTGTCCCATATCAGTGGATCGGGAGCATGAGAATTCTAATAAATCTTTAGTATTACGAGACACTTATTTATCAGATCATGCAACGGTTATTGTAAAAGATGCATACTTGTTTGTCAAGTGTAATTGGCAATAGAACATAATAGTTGATCATTTATTCATTATCTTTTTAATGAATAAATTACGATCCCAAATATAAAATGTCTTATCGATATTTGTATATTTGGTTGTAGAAGCTAGGTATCCATTAATTCATACACTATTTCTTTGTACTCTTTATCAGCAGTATAACTATATCAATATATAAGTAAATGAACCATTTATATTAATAGCTGTTCTATTCTCTCTCTGGGTAGCTAATCCATTGAGAGAACTATTAATATTAAGTTTCTCTTTCTTATAATTCTTGATTGATCTGAGAAGTTTCTCTTCTCGATCGGTGATATCGTAACTCAGTGGTATAGCATTCTGTATCCAACTGTCATTCGTATATCGTATTTAGGCCAATCATGCAATCTTTTATATAGAAGTATGTACTCGAAGTAGGAGAAGTTGTATAGCAGTATACGAGCGTATGCTGGTATGCAACATCAAAGTTGTTTTAATTTCATAGTTTATTTATTTAAACGATTTGCTTAATTATTCTTAAGTGAATCGTACCCGAATACGACACTACCATTGTCAGTAATTATGGTCTTCGGGCTTCCATGGCGAACAATAATATCTTCATAAATAAAAGACAAATTTCCGAGGCAGTTTGTTGTCGTAGGGCACGTACTTCTACATATTTAGTCAGGTAGTCGATTGCTACAATTATGTATCCATGTCCGGTTTGAGAAGAAGTTACATGTTTGATGTCAATTCCAAGTTGATAAAATGGTTTTATAGGTACGGGTACAGGATAAGATTTCTCGTTGATTGACTTATGACCATGTTCTTGACATCGGGGACATGCGTTGAGGAATTTATGAATGTCTTTGTTCATTGAGTCCCAATAGTATTTTTGATATATTCGATTAAATGTATTAGCATAGGAAAGATGTCCACCAAGTGCATGATAATGATATTGTATAAAAGCTTGTTGAGCTTCTTCCTGATTTAATACTTTCTTGAAACAATTTACGTCAAAGGGTTGAGTAAAATATAATTGATTGTTGTATATAGTGAATTTATATGCACAAGATCTAATTTTGTCTTTTTCTTTTTGACTGTATGTATCAGGGAAGGTTGATTCGGTTAATATTTTTTTAACACATCCATTTTTTCTTGATTCATGTTGAAAACTGTTTTTGTTGATATGGACTGAAGTAGATATGGGGATTGTTATTGATATTCGAAATTTTATTCAAGTTGAATTTTGTTTATAATATAATAGTGGTAGTTAAATACGAGTGAATAATTAAATAATTTAATGGATAAGAGTGTTTTGGGGTAAGTTGTGCTTTTAGGGTCGTCGAACTGAAATTGGACCATGAGTAGATTGGGTAGGGATAACGATATGTATATATATATATATAAAATTTTTTTTGAAGGATTTAAATGGGTTAAATTATTTTTTTGAGATTGTTTTTTGTTGGTTTTTTCAATGTTTTTGGTTTTTTGTGGTTTTACTTGGTTCAGTATCCAAGACGAGAGAGATAATCCGCGCTTTCATTTACTCTTTCAGGTCGATATTTGATTTCGAAATCATATTCGGAAAGGATTTCAATCCAGCGGGCTAATATTACTGAAGGTTATTTGGTTTTTAAGAGGCCGTTTAGGGTAGAATGATCAGATATGATAGTAATAGTACAGCTTGAGCCAAGCAAGTATGGTCTGTACTGTTGTACAGCCCAAACTACAGCTAGTAATTCCAGTTTTGATATTCCGTAATTAGTTTCGGCTCCTCGAAGGGATCGGCTCGAGTATACTATGGGATGTTCATGTCCTTCTTCATCTTTTTGTGTCAATACGGCACCTAAACCTTCTTTACTGGCGTCGGTTATAACGTAGAATGTTTGTGAAAAATTGGGCTTCCGAAGTATAGGTTCAGAGGTTAAATGTTCTTTCAACTTGTTGAAAGCAGCGGTGGTTTTTTCAGTCCAAGCGATCTTTTTTGTAGTTTGTAGTTGTTGATGTAGTGGGCGGGCTACTTTGGCAAATTGAGTTACGAATCATCGATAGTATAAAGCGAGGCCCAAAAAGAAGCGTACTTGTTTTATGGTTGTGGGTAAATGAAAGTCCTTAACTTTGGTAATGGTTTCGGGATTTGGTTCTATAGTATCTCTGGTCACCACGTACCCAAGGAAGAGGATTCGTTCTTGAAAAAATTGCATTTGGCAGGATTGGGGATGATGCCGTGTCGGTCCATACACGTAAATGTTTTTCTTAGGTCTTTTAAATGTTGTTCCGGTTCCTTCACATTCGTAAAGCATGTTACATCATCCAGATATATGATTATACAATCATTTATAAGTTCATGAAAACATTTTTCATCATTTGTGAGAATACGCTAGGGCTGGTTTTTATGCCCATGGGTAACTTTTTGAAGTAGAAATCTCCAAGAGAACAGACAACAGTGGTGAGAGGTTGGGAAGCTTGGCTGATATTTGCTTGGAAGAATCCAGAACGTAAATCAAACGTTGACATCCAGAATGCCTTATTTAATGTATCTAAAAGTTCGTCAATGTTGCTGAGGGGGTAGTTCATGACTTCGCTTTGAGAATTGAGGTACCGAAAATCGGCTACGATACGATAGGATCCGTCCTTCTTTTTCAACATTATGATTGGACTAGCCCAATTAGAATAACCACCTTTTTCAATGGTTCCTAATTTTAACAGCTTCTCTAATTCTTTCTTCAAACATTCCGTTTGTAAAGGAGATATGCGATATGGGGGAACACGTTTTGGTACAGCGTCACTTTTTAATTTGATGGTATGTTCCATGATGTCAATATTTCCAATCTTGTCGTTGTTCCAGTCAAAAATGTGATCAAATTGATACATCATTTTTAAGTAATTTTTCTTTATGCTTGACGGTATATTGGATAGGTCTATTTTGTTGGCTAGTTTTTCTTCATATTCTATCATTATACTTTGTGGGGGGTTATGTACTTCTTCGAGATGGTATAAATGTTCAGTTGATGGTTTGCGGACATTGTAACAAACAATTTCTTCAAGGTCATCAGCATATAAGACATCCAGTTCACCTATCGTTTCTTGAGAGGACAATTCAATAGTCGAATCGGGATTATTGATTAAATATCTGGTGATCACATCATGATTGTGTTTTAGATATGATGAAGCAGGTTGCCAGGTAGAGTCTCTGTCATGTAGTTTTTCGTTTGTAATGAATAGCATGAATTTGGTTTCTTCCATTTCAGATATAGATAAGTTCATAGGCTTTATGGTAAAACTTGTTTTTGTGTAAGGGGCTAAATAGATGGCAGAATGTAATTTTATTAAGTAGTTATCAGAAACTTCAGGATTGTTTTCCAAATATATAATGTCTCTTTTTTCGATTTTAAGCGTCTCTCCATAAGTGTCTTCTAAAATGTATAGGTCGGCCACAGATTCCTCGTCCGATGATTCGGGTACCAATTCGTCTGAGTCTTCTGAGCTTTAATTAAGATCACTTTCGCCTTCATCACTTATGTTATTATCAATAGTGGATTCAACAATGTTAATGGGGCCATCAGGTGTAATTTTGTCTTGAGCCGCGTACGTGTACTTCATTGTGCGTGTTTTTAGATTTGTAACTTGGTCTTGATCTTTGGTAAATACAAATGGTACATGGACTTTATCACCCTTATACTCGATTTTAACTACTTTTTCTTCTAAGTTCAGTTTAGCCTTAGCACGTTTTAACCAGTTGTTTCCAATTATGAGTTGGGTCGGGAACACAGGTAAGACTTCTATGGATCCAGGGACAATTAATTTACCTCCTAAATTAATAGGTACGTCGTAGATTAAACCGAGAGCAGCTTGTCTCGTTCCGTTTCCGAGAGTGAACACAGAGTTTGATGGAGTGTCAATATTTAGTTCGAGAATATCTGCTAACTTTTTCGACATAACAGTTTTAGCACTACCGGTATCTAAAATTGCTTTAATTTTAAAATGCCCAATATACACTTCCGTATATATCGCAGTGGTATCAACATCATCATCTTCAGCAAAAGCAAGGGTCAATGGGATAGGTCTTGCCTTCTTAGTCTTTTCGCGGACAGACTTGACTAAATCCTTTTTCAGACTGGGAGCAGCGATTAAGAGATCTTTTACATTTATATCAGCTTTTCGGTTAAGTACATCTTCAGTAATATCATACGATATTCTTTCAGACAATGGAGTAATTTTTCTTCTGGCCTTAGTGGTATTATTTTTAATATTGTTAACAATGTTTCCATCATTATCTATATCATGTATAATATTTTCTCTGGTGGGTAACGGTTAGTGGTGACTATGGGATTCTGGGAGTTTTGGGGCACGTTGCCGAAACGCTCTCTGCGGGAGCAGATTTCCCAGTCGAGACCAATCGCGTCAATGTGGCCTGATTTCTGTATCAACATACGTGGGTCCCAGTGAAGTGTGTGCTCAAGACGGACAATACCTTTAATATCACAAAGGTTGCGGCGAAAGCAGGACCGTGACTGTAGAACGCATGTGAACCAATGGCGAAGGGAGCGGAAAATTCGCAATTTTGGACGGGTACGTCGCAGCTGTAACGGGTCGGATTCTTCTGGTAACGTTCGATGCAAGTCGCAATTCGTTGTTCGTGAAGAGCTCGGGCATTTTCCGTGTTATCAGGATTAGCAGAGTGACGGTTACGACGAGGCGTACCACGCGCGAAAGCAGTTGAATGATGACGGCGATTTTCTAGCTTGCTAGCGATGTTAAATTGACGGACACCGAACTTCAAGTCGTCACGTTGCAAATGACAAACGTGGAAATCGGTGTTACCCTGGAATAAATGAACAGACGGGTCACCCGAGAAGTCGATGAAACGTTGTCCTGAGGGGATGTTGCGGCGGAGAGCGGCAGCTTGGATGACAGAGATCTCGTGTGCGAGTGCATGCGGGTTGGTGGAGATCGAAGGGTTGGACTTGAACGTGATGTTCGGGAAAGCAGCACGGAGGAAAGTGGTCTGCTGGTCGGAGAGAGCATTGGTTAAAGTATGGGTGAAATTCGTAGAGGAGCGGAGATCATGGCGGAACTGAATTTCGTCGTTCATGATGCGTTGTAGAGCACCATCTGGGCGCTGGGCCATGGATTGGAGGTGATGAAGAGGCGTGTCTTCGAGGCTGACGTTTAAGGTAGCCATATGGTTATAGAGGTTCGATTGGATTTTTGATAAAAAGGTTGTTCAGACAATTGACCATTTCTATGACTTGGCATAGCAACTGTCTCACTTAGTTTTTTGACTGTTGGGGATCATTTTGATAGTTGTTATTAGGTCGTAAATTATCCTTATTAAGGTAAGGCTGATAATTATTATTATTATTATTAGAATAATTATTTTGACTTGAAGAGGAACCAGACTGATTTTGGTATCCATGTGCATGAGAATTATATTTTCCTGTCGATTGTCCTTGTTGAGCATTATCATTATAGTTATAAGATCCATAATTGTTTTGATAGGGCTGGTTGTATTCTTTATTATCACGATAGTTATTGTAAGGCTGGGCTTGTCATCCTGTTTGATTGTAGGAGTTACGATTGTTATTATAACCATTGTGGTAATTGTTTCGAGCACGGTTATCTTGTTGGTTTTGTTCATATTGACGACGAGAAAGGTGATAACCTTCAGCAGGACTAGCAGCATCATTATCAAAATAATAATCATCTTTTTGATAAGAATTTGTTCCATAAGGTCTCTTGGAATTGTATCTTCTATTATCAGAATGATTGTTATAATTGTCTTCTTTTACATCGTTTTCCACCACTTCTTGTACGATGTTCTTGATAAAAGTTTTCAAACTTTTGTCGGTTTTCCATGACTCGGTCATACTTTGTTTAACATTTTCATGGGTGGTTTCATTTGAATCAATCAAAGGTATCAACTGATGAAGATCAAGTGCCTCCAACGTGGCAGTCAAAGCTGTCATAGAAGGTGACTCTTCACTAGCATACGCCTTTGTGTTTGATTTATGTATTTTGCCATCAATGTATTTCAAAGTACTAACCCGATCATTTTGAAACCTTACAGATTTTTCATTTTCAGACTTGTAACTATGAGATAGACCATTAGCGTGAGAATAGGAAGCAGCAGATACGAAAGGATTTTCTACCAAATTTATGGATGTGGGAGCGTGGGCATTCCACCAACCATCAGCATGTTTAACCCATTGGTCAAAAGAACTTGCAGATTGATCACGACAGAAAGTCTTGAGCGCCGGGAGCAAACCAGCACGGAAAGGAGAGTGTATGAAGTTTTCTTCTTGAATTTCCGCGAGATCAGCAGCTTCATATAATCGAGAAAGAAAAACTTGGGGAGATTCACCAGGAGATTGTTGCATTTCATTAAACGCCAATTCATAGTTTTGAATAATTTGTTCCGTGATATACTGTTCTTGCAATAATTGGATGGCTTCTTTGTAGGATATCTTACCAACAGTGAGATCATGCTTTTCCAAGTACTTGTCAAAGAAAACACCAGCAGAGCGACGTAGTTGGGTACGTAAGACATTAACACGTCGAAGATCTTGGGTAATACCAGTAAGAGATAAAAATGTTTCTAATAGAGTGCATCTGCTTTTGAGTAGTTCCTAACGTATTTTGTGACATTTTTGATCATTCATCTCCGACTAGTACAAGTAATATAAAAGGAAATTTATTCATAGCCAGATTTTTTTTATGTGGGGATTTTTTTTTTTGAAGAAAATTTTTCAGTGGAAGTAATATTGGGCCTCCGGCTGCGATTTCATAGGCCGGCTCTAAACAGCTTTAGATCAATATTTCAAGCCTTTCAATAGATAAATTATTTTTAAAAAGGGTCACGCATCTTAAGAATGTACTTTAATATATATATTCTAAATTACAAGTAATTCTACTTATTACATAAAAAAGGTTTAAACTTTTTTACCCTTTTTCAAGGTTGATGATATTGAGCCTCCGGCTGCGATTTCATAGGCTGTCTCTAAACAACTTCAAATCAATATTTCGAACCTTTCACTAGATATATTAATTTTAAAATGGGTCACGTATCTTAAGAATATACTTTATAATATATATTCTAAATTACAAATAATTCTACTTAGTACATAAAAAAGTTTTAAACTTTTTTATCTTCTTTTCAGTGTAAGTAATATTGAGCCTCCGTCTGCGATTTCATAGGCTGTCTCTAAAACAACTTCAGATCAATATTTCAAGCCTTTCAAAAAATATATTAATTTTAAAAAGGGTCACGTATCTTAAGAATATACTTTATAATATATATTCTAAATTTCAAGTGGTTCTACTTAGTACATAAAAAAGGTTTAAACTTTTTTACCCTTTTTCAGGGTTGATGATATTGAGCCTCCGACTGTGATTTCATAGGCTGTCTCTAAAACAACTTCAGATCAATATTTCAAGCCTTTCAATAAATATATTAATTTTAAAAAGGGTCACGTATCTTAAGAATGTACTTTATAATATATATTCTAAATTTCAAGTGGTTCTACTTAGTACATAAAAAAGGTTTAAACTTTTTTACCCTTTTTCAGGGTTGATGATATTGAGCCTCCGCCTGTGATTTCATAGGCTGTCTCTAAAAAAACTTCAAATGAATATTTCCAGCCTTTCAATAGATAAATTATTTTTAAAAAGGGTCACGCATCTTAAGAATATTTGTTTTAATGTATATTTTAAACTTCAAGTAGTTCTACTAAGTACACAAAAAAGGTTGAAGTTATTTCAAGCCACTGCTAACGATTATATAGTCTGTGCGCGGTTTTTTAAATCCGTGAGCACAAACAGTGGGTTATTTTAAAATCCGACCACGGCTAATGATATTAGCGGCAGGTTATTATTGGCCTAAAAACTTTTTTGTACAGGTTGTGACATTTTTCCCCCGCCCCCACCTAAAAAAAAAAAGTTGAATCCAGAATCTGTTATGTTTTTTAATTTGATATATGTAGATTCTCATTTTAATCAACATTAAAAACAATCCTAACCTTTCAGATGGGATATTAATTATAAGAAAAATGTGTTTGACCCATCTAATTATTTGTCTCTGCTTAAATTTTTTTTTAGGTACCACCAAAAAGCAGATGCACTCTACAGAGCGGAAGTAACGAAAGTCTTCACCTTCGAAACCATAAAATTCAATAATTTTAAGCTTATTAGCAGACCAGTTAGTAGGCATGGAGTGATTATCCAACACAGTTTGTTCGAGAGAAGCAGAGGTAGAGGCCGTGATATTAAAATTTGATTTTAATAGGAGCAGCAGAAATAAGAGATTTACCAATAAGAGTAATAGAAATAAGAGGAACCCTGTTAGTGAGCACCACTTGATACAATGTGAGTAGTAGTGATTGGTTTAGATCTAGGTTTTGACAGTAAGGTAGAAGGAGAATAATACACGTTTGTAGTTAATTTTTCAGTTCTAAGTGAGCACCACGTTATTTTATATAAATAGATAATAAATATATATGGTAAAGATCCAGTTAAGTAAAATACAATAAAAGGTCTTGATAGACAGATACAGAGAAAAAGAGACTAAGGCTTCGGTTTTTCTAGGGAGACAGTGAGATAATAGGCCAATTATATGTAGAAGATATAATATTTGATAGGCAAGTTTATGATAAAAGTATATAGTAAAATCTGAATGTTTATTGAAATATGTTTTGTTTTAAGGTTTATATAGTTTTTGAGAAATCAAAGGATCGGTAACGATACCCTTGATTTCGGATAAATGATATAAATAATAAATTTGTCAAAAGATTTTAAATATAAAAAGGTAAAGATTCAAGTTAGAGAAGTACAATGCTAAAAGTTAGCATGAAAAATATAAATTGTCTGAGTAAAGTTTTTAGTGTTGAAGTCAATTATTACATATTCAAAATCCGCATTGTAACAATATAATTTTGTACTAAGCTCTGTACAACTTCAATTTAGATATAACCATTTCACAAAACTATAATTCAATAAAGATCATCTTTTATTTACTATACTTAACTTTACATAAGCACATCTATTAAAATCACTCGGACACTGTCGTAATAGTTGCTATAATATTTTAGTATATAAAATAAAAGTAGAATAGATAAAAGATGACTTTATTTAATTTAATTATGGATTCTATTTTATAGGTGAGCGGAGGTGATATGATTTATAAGTGCGACAATGTGCGAAAAAGGGCGGTTTGAATATAACGTGGGTAGCTCCGCTTTAAACGAATAAAAAAATAACCAGAAGATATTACAATTGAACTTGAATTTTTATCAATTTTTTACCATATCGGTCAATTTCTTACCATATCCGTCAATTTATTTCCTTTCTGAACAGCTTATTGGATATCCGCTGCACTTTACTTTTTTTTTTGATAGTGCTCTGCGTATAAACTGTCAATTTGCATGGCACAAAGCAGTCTATTGTTCATTTTTATAGAGAATTATTAAACTATGAACTTCACCTTTTATAAAAAAAAAATTTGGATGCTCTCCGACCATTTAGCAGGTCCAGAAGTAGTACATCTAAATGGATATGTTTTTTAGATTAAACGTAGTGATAAGAACAATAAATCATAAGCCCAACATAGGACTACATGTTTACTAGACCAGCAATCAAATACTATTTATTAAAAAGAGAAGTAATAAAAAAGGAAAGTAAAAAGTAATTGGTACCTGAAGGATTTTCTTTTTTTTTCTATTTTTTTTTTTTCAGTTTCAGACAATCTTCCAATGTCAAAAAGTATAAATAGGATGCTAAAGTAAGTAAGCTTTTCTAGAAACACCTTTAATTTTTTTTTCCGTTTTAGCCCATACATGTAAGTATCTTAATATATATAACAGCGTATTTGGTATCTTTTACTAAAACGGTCTTTATAATAGCTTCAACAACCACGTATGACTCAGTCCACTGGAGTTGGTCGTGGACGTCCTAAAGGCAGTAAAAATAAGCAAAATAAGGTTTCTGATAGCTCTCAGTCACGTTTAAATGTTTTCTCAAACAGTATTAGAGCTCCTAATTCTGCTGTTACTGAAGAGGACACGGAAAAGGAAATTTCGGCTGATGTCTCTCTCTCGTCCGTCACAGATGAACCACACCAGCGCAATAGTAATGCTGCTGACCAATTCACACTCCTTGAGGTATGTAAACCTTATATCATTATTTGCTTTGTTGAGCCTTACTAACTTTAGCACTAGGATTTCTTATCGAATGAAAGAGCCATGGATGATTTTTTGGATAATGGTGATCCGGATAACGATGATGACGATAGCGTCAACCTATCTGATGATCCTAATGTATCTGTTGATGAGCCTGAGGAAGCTGAAGATGTTGACAAAGGCAGTTTCATTGACAGGTACTTGGGTGAAATCCAGACCGAACTGACACGAAAACGAGGCGAATGGTCTAAATGTTACAAGGAAGGGACTCTTTGGTATGAGTCCAACTTACCATCATTTGCTTTGAGAAAGCAGCTATCGCCTGAAGAGCTGTATATACCCAGAGTATGCATTTGGCTTCCACATCTTCTTGCACTTTCGAGCCTTAAATGCCCAAAGTGTAATGAGGATTTAAGTGCTGATGGTTATACCAAAGATCCCAAGGCCCGTAGGATTATTGACTTTGATGAGTAAGTATCTTATCGTAGATATAAACTAGTTAGTTCACAAATGCTGACGTTCTTTTAACTATGTGTAGCTGTTTCTACTTGATGACTTGCAACTATCGGTGCAGCAATAGAGTTAGTAAACATTCATTCAAAGGATATAATAAGGGAATCATAAAGCAGCTTAATGTTTTCCTTCAACACGAGTTTCCTGCTGTCTTGACCCATAGATTAGGCTTATCGGTCAAGCTTTTCAATTTTATAAGACCTGCATTGCAAAATTCGAGTGGACCTTCTCGTATCAGCAAACTTCTACGAGAAATGCATACATTACGACATGATGTATTGCAACGTCAGTATTTTGATGCCGCTCTTTATCGTAAAAAAAATCCAACAATCGATTTTTTTGCGTCAAATAAAAAGGTGGAAGACTTTTCAAGATTTGATGAAAAGTCCAAATATGCGGGTCATTTTCCGTCTGCTGGTTATCTCAGCTATGTATATACTAGTAGTATGCGGCTCTACAAGCACTACATTGATAAACAAATGGCTGTGTTGCCAGCAGAAATATTGAAAGGCGATCATTCTTTCAAGCTTCCTAAGAAAATTGGAAAATGAATTCTGTATCTGTATTCAACGCTGTGTACACTGTCTGTAATGAATACGAGGAAATCTGTATGATGTACCTGACGGCGACAAAGGCTTTATCCCACCTGGTACAACCTTTCGAGCAATTTTACAAGTCCCGTTCCTTATATGGAAATCCAAAGCCCAAGATATTCTTTACAGACAATCCATTGGGTGATAAATCATTTTTGGAAAAGACAATCCCTTCGTTACTTTGTGGTACGTCTTCTGAAGTGACTTCTCCGATCCCTTGTTCTCCTCCTGTGCCTGATATCGAGTTACCGTATTATATAGCTGTTCATGTTGTATCAACTTCCACTGATATAAACAGAATCAGCAGTACAATTCTCTCTGATGTTAGTATAGGCGAAGACGGCACTGGTGCACCCATTTACATCGGTTTTGATACAGAATGGCCTGTATCTTCGGTTGGTGCTTCAACAAGAAAGCCTTTAGCTGTTATACAAATAGCCTGTAATGATTGTGTATACATCATGCAGCTTTTCAGGTTTAAGAATAGCACCCTCCCGGCTCAGTTGATAACTCTTTTGGAAAGTGACCTCGTTATTAAACTTGGATAAAATGTTAAGACTGACCTGAAGTATTTGATGAAAGATTACATCAAAGACTACAATGAAACTACCTCTGTTGAAAAGCAGTTCAAAGGTGGGATGGATCTGGCTCACGTTTGCAAGAGTCGTGGTATCGTGAAAAGTGCTCAAGCCGGTTTAGCTAAACTTTGTGAAACCGTGCTTGCTAAGTCCTTACCTGAGCCTGAAAACGATAGAATAGGTGAACACTGGTCCAACGTCACCTTAACCACGTCTCATATCGAAGATGCTGCTCTTGATGCATGGGTGGGTCTTGCGATTTTTCAAAAGCTCGAAAACGAACAAGTCATTAACGTGGAAATACAAACTACAATCCCTAGCCTTTTTGTAAACGATTTTCCCTCGTTTTCCTTGGTACCCTCTGCTTTTGGTCAAGTTGTTGATGATAATTTAAGGCTCCAGCATCTTAATTCGAATGGAATCCAAGCCAGAGACGATATCACTGTTGTTAATGTTTTATCAGTAAAGGCATCTGGTCTAATTACAACATTGTATAAAGACTCACTTGGAATGTTCAAATTTCTTAAAGATTTTGGTCTTACTCCTTTTTTGGTGGCTCTCGAAACCTCGTACCTGCGCACTGCTAAGGTTCCAACTGGTGATACTGCAGAAGAATCTGAAGTTGTTGTTGACACTACAGCACCCATTAATGTCGTTGTTGAAAGTACTAGCAACGAATACAGCGATGACGATGATGATGACGACGGTGGTCGTGACTACGGCTTTGAATATGCTGGTAATACATCTGTTGTTATACCTGGCGATTCATCTTTTTTTGGTGGCACTTTGCCAGTCGAATCTAACACCGATAGCACCAATACCAATGGCAATGCTCCTACCAGTAGAATTGTAAAGGATCTGTTTCATTTAATTGATTCAATTCCTATCAATTTGAAGCATAGTAGGGCAAAAGAATTTGTCAGAAGATTGCGTGATGTTCTCTTTGTCCTGGATGAGAACGACAAATCTCTCGTGGTTAAATTCCTGGAAAGCCAAAATAAAACTTGGGAAGAAGAACTCTTGAGAAATCCCGAGTGGCTTCTTAAACGTGTTCGGCGTTATGTTCCACAGCCAAATGTTTTGCATCCTCGAGTCACTGAACTGTTCCATCTCTTCGGTGATTCTATTTGCTCTAATTCAGGTGCAAAGTTGTTCGACAAGCACTGTCAAAAGAAAGCCAAGTTGGCTCTACAAACGATCAAGGATGGATATGTCTCAGATCCCGTAGATGTTCCCTTGTACTATCTTTTACGTGCAGATAGTCATGAACTACCTGTCTATAGGTGTGCTCGTGGTACAAACAGTCTTGAAGGTGGTGTTCATATCACACCAAACGAGATTTAGCGTCAATCTTAATTCTAATATGGATGAGCGCGGAGGAATTTTTTTGCCTTTTGCAGAATGAATATTACACAGCATTTGGGGGGCCAAGAGGGAGAATGTTACCATATTGGGTCTAGTGATATGCGGTCGGAATAACCTGATCCGTCAAAAACAGGCCACAAATACTGTCTGGAATATCGATAAAAAAATGGGCTGAAAAAAAACGAAAAAAAACGAAAAAATAGGCATAAAAAATAGGCAAAAAACGGCTGAAAACGATTGGAATTATGGGTATAAATTTGATTTTATTGAATAGAAATTGTAGGTTTTAAATTGTATTTGTATATGCTAGGTTGCTAGGAGTAATCTTCTTGGAAAGACAAGCATCGCATGCATTATAAGCGGCGAACCCAGGTTTCTATTCCAGAGGTCTTCAATGTACTTACTGCGATTCGGTCCAAGGACACGCGTAGAGACAGAGGATACCCGTATTGTAAATGTTGCCTAAAAAAACCGGTTAAAAATAATACTTTGGATTCAAGTATGACTTCTCAAACATTACTTTGTCAAGTAAAGATAGTATCCTTCGGCATCAATAATGTATCTAAGAAAAGAAGTGCGCATACGTTAGAGAAATGAAAACAATTTTGTTATTAAAAACTTACTTTTTGTTACGAATGTAGAGAAAGATAACTTTTCAAAAAAAATTCTAAAGGATCCTCTTTTATACTTTTTTTCTGGAGATGACGCGGGTACCAATCGTCCGAGGCAAAATCGCTAAATAAAAACAATGACGTACCTTAATTTTAGCACTTCTTTCTTTCTTCTATTTTTTTTATAAAGTTAAAGATACCTGAAATGAGTCAAAAAACTATTAAATTTGCTCCCGAACCTGTCTTTAAATGCTCTAAGTGCCCAGCTAAGATCTCAAGAAAAGACAATTTGGACAGACATGAGAAAAATTGCCATCCCATTTCCCAACAAGACGTTATTATGGAAGACCCAACCCAAAACGCGACGTAGGTTTTATAACAGATTCGTAAATTTAGACTTTATATTAATCTATGCTAGTAGTAATGTTGTTAGAGTGGCTGATGGCGGGATTCAACAGCAGCAACAACAACAACAACAACAACAACAACAACAACAACAACAACAACAACAACAACAACAACAACAACAACAACAACAACAACAACAACAACAACAACAACAACAACAACAACAACAACAACAACAACAACAACAACAATAACAACAACAACAACAACAACAACAACAACAACAACAACAACAACAACAACAACAGCAGCAACAGCAGCAACAGCAGCAGCAGCAACAAGGAGATCTTGAAGAAGACTCTCAGGAGGATGATACGGATGGTCCCCGCGATTATAGTGGTGATATCGTCGAGAACTGCCCTGACTCGGAAGACGAACTTGATGTGGACATTGACATCATTGCGCCAATCCAACATGCTATCTATAGCAACGTCGATGCAGGTGTTCAACCAGGCTTTAGTATGGGTAGTTGTTTTAATTCCATTCAAACTGCAATCCATCAACGCGGGGAAAATCCAACAACGAGTAACAACGAATCGGCTCCGTTCAGTAACATTTTGTTCTTTGTTATCATCGCCTTTTTCGACGGATGCTCTCTTAGCATTTCCGAAGAGAGGATCAAACTGATTCTGTTTGTTATCGGTATCATTGTCCAATTAGCAAGGGACAATGTGGACAAGTCATTGCCTGCTACTGATCATGTACTCAACTACCTGGGAAGAGCCAAAAACAAAATTCCCAAAATGAGCACGACAAGACACGTAGCTACCAACCACAAGACAAAGAAGGAATATACATTCTTTATGAACAAACCTTCCGAGTTTCTTACGCATCTTATGGCTGACCCTATCAAGTGCCCACAATTGAGTGCACTTCCAGATTATAAGGAAGACTCAATCAACTGCTTGGAGCAAGGTGAAAAGTGGAGAACACATTCTATGTTTCAACACCCCATGATCACGCTCAACAATCTTGATATCTGGGTTGGTAATCTTGTTGCATTCAAGAACTCTTTTGACAAAACGATCTGGCTGTTGATTAAGCAATTTTATCAAAAGAGAAACGCCGATGGAGTCACGGCTATCTATGCAAGTGGCTACCAGGCTGCCCCCGTTTGGAGTTTTAGAGAAGTGCAATTTGTATTCAACAGTAATGGTGACTTTGATTACGACGTTTCTCCCCTCTTATGTATCGATTCGCAGTTATCAGAGTATTCGATGTCCAAATTTGAAGGTCAGGTAGATAAGAGCTCTCGTTTTGCCATGTACCTGTATTCTGAATATTTATTTATCCAATTGTCTTCCGAGGATATTCAGGATAAGCTTTGGAATGATACATTAGCTGATGTCAACAGGTTCAAGAGACGAAGAACAGACGGCTCCATCATGAAGGTAATGAATGTTCCTATCACATTCTTTACTGATGATACATCAGGAAATCTTTCAAAGCAGTATAATCTATTTGACAGTTATTGTATGACACCTGCAGCCATGTCTTTTGATAGTAGAGGATCAAAGAACAAAATTTTATGATGTGTACATCGAACAAGAACTTGTCGGCCGTTGATATGCTCCCTCCAATTGTTAATGATTTGCTTTATCTAGAGAATGGTGTCGAAATGTATTCGGCAATACATGAAAATTACGTCTTGGTTGTAGCTCCTCTTGTTTTTATTCAAGGCGATCACTACCGTCAGTCGGAATTGTCCATGCACAGAGGCAATGCTTCTAATTTCTTCTGTCGTAAATGTCTTATTAAAAAGACTAAAAATCCAAACCCCAAGTTACGAGTAAACGCATCTGCCGCAACAAGGGAGCGTCATGCAACTGCGCCATTGAGGCTCATCAATCCTATTCTCCACAAATGTCCTACCAGATTACGATCTGACCTGGAGAAGGTGAGCAAGCTCGATGCAACTGATGAAGATGGCAAGGAAGCTATTAAGTCATATGAAGTCAGCTATAGCATAACCAAGAATGGCAGTGAACAGCTTCTTCGCTTGGAATCTTATGAGCCCATATTGGATACTCCATTGGAATTACTTCACACGTTACCTTTGGGTATTGGTAAATTCTTGGTGACATTTTTATGGAAGGACCTTCTGAACAAGCAGCAAAAGACAGCTTTACAAGATTGCCTGGCAGATTATCGCAAAAACAGGGCTTACTCAAGAACATTTCGAGCAAAGATGGTGCATAATGGTTCCTTCGTCGGAAGGGACTATAAAATCTTATGTCAACTTCCTCCTGTTGTTTTGCGAAGTTTTTTTGTTGTGGAGCCGGACAGCATTTTGGACTGGACAATCAAATGTTCTGACACTTTTGGTCTGTTATGTTCCTTGTTATACATGCGTTCAATCAAGTTAAACGTCGATACGGTTGCTAAAACAATAAAAATACTGGTGGATGAATTGACTTCACGTGTTATAGACCTTGATAACAGTTGCATTCAAGACTCGAGAATTGCCTCCCCTTTGATATCTTTGCAACCAAAATTACATTTGCTTCATCATCTGCCATTTGATATTCGTCGTTTTGGATTACCTGTTCATTATGAAACCGAGCACGGCGAACAATTCAACAAGTTTATTCGTGAGGCCATTTTACTGACAAATAGACATCAGTCTGAACGGGATGTTGCCTTGAAGTTTGCCAAACAGTTTATGATCCGTTTTCTGTTTAATGGTGGTACTTTCCTTGTTGAAGAAGCAGATGGGTCTTTTACTAGATGCCGTGTTGGTCCTGAAATTGCTAGATTCAGAACTGCATATCCAAAATTCGAAGAATTATTGCTCACTGTTCGTGAAAACTCTGATAACAACGAATACGTCAATGCTCGTTCTGTGTCTCTCAAGGATGGTGTTAGTGGACTGTTTATGGATGAAATTACATCGCAATCTTGCTTTGGATGAATTATCGAGAGGACTTTCCAAAATTCCGAAGGAAAACTTCAATTAGCTAAGTATCTTTTAGCTTATGAATGTATAGAATCCGATGATGTTAGTGATAATTTTTTGCGTTCATTTGCTAGATATGCGTCGTCCAAGTTCCCTTTGTGGCTGACAACCGTCGATACCAGCCCTGTGGTACGCCCTGTATCTCACATATTCGACGGCCAGTACTCACTTATCGAGTTGATGGATCTTGATACTTTTGCTGACATCAATAAAACCTACAGAATTATGAATGTGCACAAATACGGCTCATTCTATTTGATGTTAAAGCATTATCAGGCTACTTTTCCCCAAGGTGATTAGATGTCTGCCTTCTTTGCAAGTATACGGAGTGTGTTTAGCGGAATTGACCGCACTGTTCTGGCTGTAGCTTTGCTTCAACCAGTTTGTCACTCCGAGGCAATTACCCTCGGGGAGGATTAACACTTCGCTCTCAAGAAAAAAAAAAAAAAGTCTGCCTGCCCACCTATTGCCTGCCTGTGTACCCACAATATTACCGCTTGATTAGGTACCACCCCCCTTCCATATTTCACATCAAGCCTTTTTGGGTTTAATGTTTTCTGCTGTAAAAATAGACGTGCCTGGCTGCCCAATTAAATGAATCCCATAGTTACACTGCATTCTCCCCACCCCCATATTTTAAAGTTGTACTTTGTGTATTTTTATTTTATAACGTTAAGCCAATAGTAGCTCTTATATACAGTCGGAGTATCGGCAAAACTTTAAATCTGCTCAAAAGTCTTTGGGTGTGATTAACATCAATCGAAAATTCGGTTGTTACAACGCTGGTTCCGATTTGACCGATTGTGCTTTAGCCGATTATCGACTTCGCCATAATACTGATGTAAGCAGACAATGTTTTTCAATTCATTCATAAATGTTTTATTATTAACTGTATTTTTAGGTTAGCTCTCACAACAGATTTGGTGTTGTTCATAAAGGTCACTACTCTCCCTGGTTAAGCCAGTCAATTAATGTGTTGCGTAGACAGCTGGATTTGCCACCATTGTTAAATTACCACACGGCCTTTGGTAATTTATCTGACCTTGCCCCTTCTGGTCAAACGTTTGGCATTGTTCCTTTAGATCCTAAATCTTTAACAGATTTTAGTATGAGAGGAAATGTACAGTCTGATACGGCTTTATTCGCTCTAAATCATGAAAGTGATATTTCGTTGCCACCAATTAAGCTGATTAAACTGTACAAGAACCAGTATGAATGTCTTGCAATCCTACAATGCACTTTGTATGCTATCGTCCCAGTGCATACAAAAAAGGAGATGCAATTGTTTCATGAAATTATTCGTCAAAATCCAAAGATGGGCCTCAGCAAACATCAAGACTGGATAAAGTTTGCTCAAATGTGGTCTCCTTTTGCGAATGGTGTTGATGTCTTCTACAAGTCCCCATAACACCTTAGACAATATAGTATTATTCTCAAAGACAGGACCCATTATTACAACAGCATAATTAAGAACAATAACTTAGTTGCAAAGGCCCGAGAGCTCGTACAAGTATCTAATTCGGAATCTCAGCCTTTAAATATTCCTGATCCTGTTCCTTTGGATAATCTTTATAATTTACAATCAAACATTGCGCAACCATTAATCCACGAAACTCAAACGGTGTCTTCGGTGTCTATTGTTCCCCCTGTTAATTTGTATAACTACCCCATAACTGCCCCACCAACTGTAGTTTACAATAATACAAACAGTATACAATGGTCTAATCCAACTCCGCCCTTGAGGTATTACCATCCGGAACAATATTTTTCTGGTTATGTTAATCAGACTGGTTATGTTAATCGGACTGGTTACGTTAATCAGACTGGTTACGTTAATCATATGCAGCCTAATCCACTACCCTGTTACAATTCTGGTAATGGCGCTGTGTTTCCTATTGATAATACGGTGTTAGTTAATAGCAGCAAAAGAACTTATGCTAATAATAACACTGCTATCAGTACACCGAAGACAGTTTTTTTTGCAGTTGATTTGGAATCAAGCAATAGCAGTACTTGGTCAACTCAAAGATTTGATTATCTTGCTCCGAGAACCCCAAGAAAAAAATATACATAAACTAAAAGACAAAAGAAATAAAGTACTATGTCTGTTTGTAATAAATTATGTTTATAGTAAATATTGTACAGTTTAGATTTGATGTCAAGTAGGGTATTTTTTCTAGAAAAAAAAACTAAAAAGTGACACAAGTTTTGTCGGAGCGCGCCTGCGGCGCACTCCAATTAAATTTGAAATTTATTCGGACCACCCCGTGGTATGTATATACGGCCCGAAAAAGATAATCAAAAATTGTGAATACTGTTACTGTCAGAGAGATTTTAATAGATGTGCTTATGTAAAGTTAAGTATAGTAAATGAAAGATGATCTTTATTGAATTATAGTTTTGTGAAATGGTTATTTCTAAATTGAAGTTGTACAGAACTTAATATAAAATTATAGCTGACATTACAATGCAGATTGGCTACAGCTTTTTTTTTGACTGCGAGCCTAAAATGTATACACAACCAAATTTATTTTCAGTTAAGCTAATTTTAGCATTGTGTTGCAACATTTTAGTTCGTTTTCCTTTTCTATTTTAAAGTCGTTTAGTTCTTAAATTATTAGTTATCTATCATCCGTTTGTTCAAGCGTATCGTTATCGATCCTTGAGACAAACTAAAACTTTATAAACCCATAAAATTGTTGCGTTTAAATAAATCATTCAGCTTTTTATCTGTATTGCCACCGGCAAGATTCAGTAAAAGTGATTGAATAAAATAAAAACAGAATTTAAGACAAAAGTTCTCAAAAAAAGTGGGCACCGGACTATATAGTTGTCAACTGAAAAAAAATAAAATATATTTATATAAGGTCGTAATTTATACGACGAAATCAGATGAGAGTGGTATTCCAAGAAGTATAGTAAAATACAAAATGAAATAGCCAACAATGCTGATTTACAGAAGGAAATTACAAGCGATTATAATAAATTATAAATCACAAGAACTTAAAGTATTAAAAGTTATTTAAATTAAAGTAAAGAACAAAATTAACTATTTTATTATAAGGCAAAGGTTTTGCCGGCTGTCTAACATTGTCGTAAGTTGCCGTGGAGGAGGGAGAAGAGTAATACCCAATTTAAAAAGAAGAAAAGTTACTGTTTAAGCATTGCCATAAAACAAAGGGGGAGTGAGTAGCTTACAGCAGTCTACTGTAGTTTTAGAGAATTAAAATTACGAGGGGGTTTGATGATATTTCGACTTCTTTTTTTTCTTCCAATCATGTAGTTGAGTGTGTATTGGTGCTTAAGTGTGTAATTAAGTGTGTTTTTGTTTAAGAGTCAACAGAGGTATGAAAGTTATTATTTATTGTAATGTTTTAAAATTTGTATTGTTATTTATATGATGGTTATTAAATGAGTGATATATATATGTATATGGTTAATTATAGAGTGTAGTATTTGCATTGACTATGAGGTGTAAAGTGTTTGTTCAGAATAGTGAATCATATCAATAGCATCAATATTCACACCGAACTTTCTTTTAATTCTAAGTGGTAGATCTGCGCCAAAAAAATATAGATCATCTGCTTTTCTTACTCGAGACATTGCTACATACATTTGACCATGAGATGCCATGTCATCTAAGTGAATAGCCACAGAGTCAATTGTAATGCTTTGTGCCTTATGAATTGTTGTAGCAAAAGCAGAGACAATTGGAAACTGGGATCTCACAAAGCTTGTACCTGGAATGGATCTTGTTATTCTTTGGATCCAAAGTGTTTGGTGACTACCGTCAGAGTTTTGCTCCAATAATAAAATATTCTCTTCGTCTACTTCCGATATTGTTGCCTAAGTACCATTTACCCAGCCTTGAGAAACCCGCAAGTTTTGAAGGAGCATGACCGGCATGTCGATTTTTAATTGCAATTCTTCAAGAAGTCTTGTTTCTTTTAGAGCCCTAGCAGCTGATTTTCTATTACCGCCATTGAAAGTATCGATGGATGGAATCGACATTGATTCGCCTGCAAGATTACAAAACTCCTTAATATTTGCTCTGTCGACATTTTTTCTAGTTGTATAGAGGCGCAAACAGTTGGAAGGAAGGTCACTTTTTAATACTGTCCAGGAATTGATGAACTTAATAACTTCGTCATAATTACATACACGGACTTTGTTTAGAACATTGATAAGAACTTGATCAACTTGGCGAATTGGTGTGTACAGTGTAAACTTGGTCGAATAGTTGTATACAGCTGATTCCCAGATTAAACCTTCATTGATACATACGGGTAACAACTGTGCGACATCACCAAAAAAAACTGTTTTTATGCCACCCATTGCTGCTGCTCTTTGTGTTGTTCTAATCAAAGCGTCATTCATGATATTCAAAAGTTGATTACTGATCATAGAAAACTCGTCTACTAGTAGCATAACTTTTGGGTAGAGTTTTATCATTTTATCTAGCTTCACATAGTTGGGTTCCTGCGACGAAGGCCTCATTCCATAAAAACCATGGATAGTAATTCCGCTTACATTGTATGCAGCAACCCCAGTAGGAGCCATTTTAAATTAATATATAAAAATAATAGGAATTAGGAATTGTAAAAAACAGTCACAAAGTTACGAATTTTTTGAGGGGGTGCGGGGATTTCCCCCGCAAGAGGGGTGGGGGGTTTGGGGGGAGGGGGAACCCCTCCCCCCAAGAATACGGCCCATATTATTTAGCATTAAATTGTTACCTTCTGAAAAACAATATTCCTTTTTTTTTTACAGCGCTGTGTTTTTAAAGCATGATTTTTTTTATGGCGTAATATTTCTCAGCCGAGATACAAAATTAGAGGATGGGAAAACCACTCCTCCCAAGAATACGACCCATAATATTAATCATTAGACTAAAAAAAAAGATCATATATAAAAACTGATTGTTTGGAGAAATTCATAATATAGAAAGTGACTTTTACGGAAAAAATCATTGCAAATAAAATTGTGACTATGGGGTTTTCGGGGTGGAGGTTACCCTCCGGCCCAGTATAACAACCAATAGTATTAAGTATTATATTATCGAGTTTAGAGAAACAGTCTATGAACACTTTTTCACAAACAATATGTCATTATTCGAGAACAACTGGAAAATTAATTGTTTTAGGTCGATGAAGGGGTCGCCTTTGAAATTAATATTTTGGATTATCAAGTCTTTCATTATGAAGCAAAAACACTGCGCATAGAATAGCTAATCAGATAAATAAACAATTAATACTTTTTGCGTAGATCAACTTTCCTGCCTGGGTCTAGGGATATCGTCTTTTTCCAGATATTTATACATATATTGAGAAACATCAAAGTTTTCTCCAGTATCAAACTAATAATAGGCAGTGTAGCTTAAGTTATAATGGTGCATGGGCTTCATGGTTAATTAATATATGTTAAGTTTGTTATATCAAAAACAGGCCTGCGGCAGCACGAGGCTTTTTCAAAGCGCAGCGTACCGAACCATAGTGCAGGTCAAAAATTTACCGCAGCGCAGCGAAGGTCAAATTTTTACCGAAACGAAGGTTTGGTTTGAAAAAGCCTCGTATCTATTAATAAAACGTTATTTTAGAGCTGTGAATCAAAAGGTCAATAAACTATTACTACCTTGTATCCTTTTATCTTGTAATGTCTTTCAAACATCTTGAGCAAGTAGGATTTACCGGTACCAGCCGCACCAGACACAAATGTGACAGAGTTGTGAGCCAGCTCAACATTTACTCTATCAAAAATGCTTTTTTGAGTTTCATTAGCATTGGTGTACATAATTTCGAGTTCAGATTGAGTAACGTCTAGGCCTCTTTCAAAATCGTTCACGTCAGATAAGTTGCTAATATCGTAAGATCGATTAATGTGAATGCCGCCATTTTCAGGGCCGAGTGAAACCGAATGCTCAAAGTAATCTATAATAATAAGCTATTAGTTAATTGACTCTTTTCATTTATGCGGTATTAATATTATTACCTCTCCAGGATGCATAGCTACCTTTTTTTGCGATAAAAATAGTTCTAAATATAGCCTTATTAAGGACGATTTGTTGATAGTAGTATTTTTCGCCATTGTTCTCCGACTGATTAAATGTTCGCCAGAATGCTGGTTTCTTGCGTAAAACGTATTTGGTTTTTTTGGAAAATATAAACATGGGTAAAGGATCTGGGAAAAACAAACGCTCAAACAAACCACCATTTGATCTATCAGTTATATTGCCCTCATATGGGGATTCGCGATAAAAGCTATAAAATTGGGTGATAGTCACGTTGCGGCCACCATTGCGCTGTTTATATTTTTATATAAGACTTTTTAGCTTTTGACATCTTGATTTAAATTTACATAAGAAAACTTACCAACATGAGTCCGAGTAAAAATCATGGCACTGTTAGGATCAAGGTCTTTGATATCACGTCGTAATAGTCTTCGCTCATCACCAGGCAAACTGGTATGTACAGTATAAAATTTACCACTCTTGAGGTTTGATGTTTATGCCATCCCATAATGTCGTATACAGCTTCTACAGCGCCAACAGTTCTGTTCTTGAAGTGCTCTTTGTCGGTCTTTTCGTTTCGAATTTTGTAGTTACCCGCGCTGCCTTTGTTGCTGATTTCAAAAACTGCATCCGTTTCATTTTTTGCCATGTATTTAGCAAGGTATCGCACGGCTGCTTCACCTTTGTTGTAATGTATGTCCATATTAGCTCTCCAGACACCTAGCAAGTAGGGGTTGTACCAATTAACCTTCATGTCTTCCACTCCTCTTTCATAGATACAGGCATCCCCCACAAATTAGGTCTTTGGCGCTGGCTCTTTTGGATATCCAAAGCGACATTTACCAGTGACATGCAGTTTCCAATACCTAAAATGTATATATTAATTTTTTGTAAAAAAAACGATGAAAGGATTTTTACTTACACATCTTGGCATTCATGAATTTGATGTTTCAGGACTAGTCTATGCATCAAAGGATCATCATTAAAATTTTTTGAGTACAACTTGCAGGTAATTACGTTCAAAGCAATCAATTCCTGAACACATTTTTTTGTCCAAAGAACGCAATGA